TTCACGTTCAATTACTGGCTCCATATTGGGTTACAGAGGCTAAAATCTTTTTGATTTTGCCTCCAGCCGGACTTGAATCGTTGACCTTGTCTGTGGGGGCATGGGAGCTTAACCGCTAAGCTATGGGACCCATACCCTCCATAACCTTTTCTGTGAATCCTTTAAGTTCTCTATAATCTATGAATTGGGCACGAAGATAAATAATATGCCAACTGCATTTCTCAGCGTTTGATGAACTAGCTAAGACAAAAGAATTTAAGAAAGGCATACAAACAGAAATAAGGCTTAATGTATCTGCACAAGCAACTAAAATTCAAGATATCAAATCTTCTTGGGTAATTTTTTCACTATCTAAAGAAGGCACTTTAGGATTTGTAGGATCATGCTTTTGCCTTGCATCAATATCAATAATTAAGCGGAGGGGCTGGTTCCCATCAATACATTTGTGAGTATCGGGTATTCTATAAACTTCGCTAGGATGATCGATCACTGTATAACCTTTTCCTGCCATCCGAATTATATATTAAGAATGAATCTCCTCAGGTAGATATGTGTCTAAAAGTGCAGTATTATTTTTATCGGTATGGCCATGACCCTTTAGGGTCACCTCTTCAGGCCTGGATGCAAGCCAGTATTTATAAAATGTATGTTCTTTATGGCCGGGTTTATAATCAAGATCTGTTAAACCCATAAAAAGCCATTTTGCTTCATTATATTCAGCTGACTTTTGATTTAAGCGCTGTTATTGTAATAATTCACGAAGATGTTTTTTTGCTTCACTAGATAAACCTATTTTATATGTACGTTGTTTGTATATACGCGTTGTTTGATCTGACAAAAAGTATATGTAGTATTATTTTGAAACTATATTAATCGATAGATAAATCTTTAAAATAAAATTAATTATTATATATAGTTATGATGATATTATACCATTGCTCACATATTAATAGAACTGAAGAAATCTGTGGTCGAGGTAGTAAATCAGAAAGATGTTATAATCATCGTAAATCTCCAGTATATACTCCTTGTAGAGATTGTGGTATGCTAAATAGGTCTAAATATAATGCATGCGATGATCATATAGGCAAATATAAAAGTAGAGAGAATTATCGCAGAAAAAAGCAGGATGAATTACGTGCACAAATTGATATGTTTGGGGATTTTCCTAACTTATTTGATTCTATGCATGAAGTATAATCATATACCTGGCATACGTGTATATCGATTATTTTTTCCAGGACCTCTCTAAGTAATGCTATATCTTTTTTGATCCCTTCTATATTTTTGGTTATCCCGCCTTCTCACAGTAACTGCTCGAAGCCAGAAAAATGTAGATAGCATATATTGTACTGATAACATATATATCTTTTATTCAAGAAACAAAGAGAAAAAAAGGGGCTATGGATTTCAAGACTTTTGATCGAACTTATGTCTTGTTCGCGTTTATTTTTTGATAGAATTGCAATAACCACAACGCATTCAATTTTGGATATAGAGACATTGACTCAAGATAATTAATTTTTGATTTGAAAAAATAAGTAGATTGATGTATAATTACAATCTACTTATCTAATATATTATCAATACAGCTATGACAACTGCTTGAAAAACCCGAAAACCCAAAACCAATAACTTCACCTCTATTTTAGATCAGTTCCTGAATAAATATAACCTATCAGCTGAATCAAACCCACTTTAATTACGTACTCATGCTGATGAGCTTGGTACTATGCTACCAGATTGGAAGGCTTGTAAAGATGTGAAAGAAGCTCTTCACTGACACCTATTCAAAGACAATCAAATAGAAGCTCTGGTTCCGAACAACGAAAAGAAAAGGCTTACTATCAAGGAAAAAGCTCAATATTGTACAAAAACTGGATATGTGTGGGATATTTACTTACATGCTTTAGACTTAGCTGAAATAAAAAATGATGCTGATAAGGAGATTGTAGCATCCAGTTCCCATTTTTCGCAATTTCGTAAAGAGTTAGCAGAAGCTGAAGTTGATCCTGAGCAAATCAATATATATGCCAAATTACTAAATATTACTCAAGCTTCTAACAAAATTCAGAAGAGAAAACTTGAACAGGGATTAATCAGTCGATCTAAAACGCCTAAACACTTCTCCTTAGAAGAGGGGCTTAGAAGACTTCAAAATATTCGTACTACTGAGACCCCCACTCTACAAGATCTCGCAGATGTGATCATGATGTTGAGCATGAGACCTGCCGAAGCAACTACTCTCCGCATTATCTATTATGAGCCTGACGAATCAAATCCTTCGGAATGGTATAATCCCGATTACTCTTGGTATTGTACTGGGTATATTAAAAATAAAGGAGAAGCAAAAAACAATTCTGAACCTAGACCATTTCTATCCATGAAAAAGAATCCAGAACGTGCAAGAGAATTGCTTACCTGGATTCAAAATGCAATAGCGATTAGAAAGTTGTGCGATCCTGTCTATAGTATTAATGGAAAACATAGTACAGGTATATTTAGTAAATTTTTAAAGCCATATGATATTACAGCTAAAAGATTAAGAAAAATCGGAGGTAAACATGCTTCTAGAGTTCATGATGGTCAAAATTCAATTTCACAACATCTCGCTTTCCTCAGCAGGATTGCAATGAGGCATAAGATGGATCGTCATAATTCTGGAATGTATTATGCCGAGGGTGATACTTCCGATTCTGATCTTGACTCAAATCTAAAACCTGAACCCAAAACTCAAACTTTCACATCCAAGCCAATTAATGAGAATACTTCTGAAATTGAGAATATCTATGACTTATATGGGAGTATCTAAATTAGTTCGCATAACCCAGCTTTGTCCCTTTGGGCCTGCTTTGCAATAAATCTATCTGGAAATAATCAGACCTATTAGATATTTTTTAAGTAAAGTTATATATGCAAACCAACTCACTAATCGCACTTATCCATAAGTTAAAAAATCGTTCACGATTGCCAGCGAAGATCAAGTGATCCTCTCATACTAATTAATTCGTGAATGAACAGATCACCAAATCCGAAATTGTTTTTTTAATCTGCAAATTAGGTTTGTTAGTCTCTAAAATGTTTAATGTATAAAAATGAGCTAAGTATATAATTAACTGCAATACTTATCTGTCTATAACCCTTTATACCATATTCTAACTCTCAACCGTAAAAAATTTTATTCTTGGATATGTCTACTAACCCAACATCTAAAAATGTTTCATGTCTTAAAAACCTTGCTTTAAATATCCTTAAAAACAGCACCCCAGAGGTTATTACAAAAGGTGTTGAAGTTCCAGAACTAGATCCATGCTCAAAGTGTAAAGAAGAGCTTTTTTTGTACGAACTTAAAAAACCATTTACTATACTTATCTGTGGACATATATACCACCATAGTTGTCTTGAGGATTATGTAAAAGATCTCCCACAATGCTCTGAATGTGCAATGGAAAATGAATCTATTGATTATACATGTTATTCTGGTACTTCTGAATCTAGTTCACAGGATCGGGCACAGAATACCTCAGACCCAATGCAAATTTCACCACAAATGGCACAAATGGCATCTAGTCAAAACCAGAATACAGTAACCCCATATACATCTCTTATTTTTAACCCTACCTTATCATATGACCCAACA